ACCACCCCCAGCCCACCCCAGGCTTCCAGAGGATCCCTCAGCTTCCCTCTGTTCCTGCACAGGGGATGGGGAAGCTCCTGTGTGTGGATGGATGGATGGACACGTATCCAGCCAGACTCAGACCCTGCAGCTGCATCGGTGCCTGCATCAGGGTGGGGGGGCATCCCTGAGGAACTGGGGCTCCTCTGTAAGGAGGGGTCCTTCTAACTGGGGTTCCTTTTTAACAGGGGCTCCTTGCAAAGCAGGGACTGCCTGCAGTGAAGGATCCCCATAACGGGGGCTTGCTACTATGGGGTCTTCCCTTAATGGGGGCTCCATACCATCAGGGATCCCCATAATGGGGACTCCTCCCTAACAGGGGCTCTGTACAATGGGGGCTCCCTATAATGGGAGTCCTTCCCACATCGGGACTCTATTCAGTGCAAGCTCCCCATAGTGGGGGCTCCGTACAATGAAATCTCTTAACGGGAGTTCCCCCACTATAGACTCCCCATATGGCTATTCCTCCATAATGGGAGGCTTGCTGCAATAGGAACCCTTCCATACCAGAGATTCCCCGAAATGAACGGTTAAGGGGGAGGATTACCGTGTACCGAAGAGCCAGGCGGGACAGGGCGGGCAGAGACCCGAGCAGCTCCTTGCACATGTGGCGAGCTGGGCTGGGCTTGGCTGTCCCATCCCATCCCATCCCATCCCATCCCATCCCTTCCCGTCCCGTCCCATCCCCTCCTCCAGCCGGCCCCCACGCACACCCAGCCCTCCTCCTCCCTGCCCGTCCTCCTCCCACTTCCTCCGCACGATGCACGCTGCCGGTCGAGCGGGGAGGCGGCAGCAGGACCCCCCCCGCCTCCGAGTCCCCCGCACGGCCCCGTAGAGATGCTCCGGGGGAGGAACCGCTCCGCAGCCGGAGGTGAGTGTGGGATGGGGCCAGGGACCGGGGGAGGGCACCGGGGCCAGCGCGTTGCGGGGACCCCCGGAGGGTGCAGCTCCTGGCCGGAGGCATGGCTGCAGGAGGGCTTCCCCAAGCTTTCCTGCACCCTGTGCGGATGTTTTGCTCCAGATCATCTCCTTCTGGTTGCGGGATGCAGGGAAAAATGGGGTTTAGGGGGTTAGATCCCTGGCTCCGGAGCCTGACCCCCATTTTTCCCCATGGACGCGTTGGGCATCAGCCACATGAGCGAAGTGTCCGCGGGGCCGAACGTGCGTTCGCTCCCCTGCGAGAGCAGGAACCCGCCGGTGGTTACGGCGGTGATCGCGATAGCGTTGCCTACACAAACGCTGTGACCGTGTGGACAGGACAGAAGGACGGACGCGGGCGTCCAGCCCGGACCTCGTGGCTGGGCAGGAGCGTGTCACTGCGGTGCCTGCGGCCAGCCTGGGACGTGACACCCATGGCGTTGGATCGATGCGGTTTTACTCGTGTGTAGATAAGGGTTTAACCCGTTAAACGCTCGGTTATTCTGGGGGCAGTCGCTGTGCTGGCTGTTACGCGCTTAATTAAGGTTTTTTTTATGTAAAAGTGACTATTCTGGGGGAGTTTTGAGGAACAACCACCTCTTGTGCAGTGCAAGCAGGGATTCCTGCAGGCGTTCCGTGAGAATACTGCCTTGGTCCGAGTGAAGGCTCCAAGCGGGCTTTTGCCTCCTTGGGAAAAGCTCGGGAGCTGCAAACTTTTCTGAAGAGGGATAAGGTCTGGAATGGGGAAGCTGGGACCGCTGAGGCCTCTTGTTTGCTCCCTCAAATGGCCTCAACGGGGGGAGCCTTGCTGGCTATCGCATCCCAACCCATCGGGGAGGTGGGAAAACTGATCCCTGGGCTGGGACCCAGCGTCCCCGTGACTGGAACCGGTGTTAGAGCCGGACGGGAAACCCCCTTCGTCCCGCGGGACACGGTCGTGGTTCGTGGTGACACGGGAAAAGCCCCTCCGCTGGGGACCCTCGGACCCTAGGGTGGGGGGGCGGAGGGGGTGCTGTGGGATGGGTTCGGGGGTCCTGGTGCCAGCGGGGTTTGGAGATTTGGGCGTTTGTTTCTTGATCCCTGTTTGCTGGCGGTTGTTTCTCCGCATCACGTGGCAACGGAGGAGGCGGGAGGCTGCGGTGAGAGGCTTCCATCTCTCACTGCCGCGTTTTAGGACATCGTATCCTGGGGAGGAAGTACCGGGAGCCGTCTGCTGTGCCCCGGCGATAACGGGCACGGCCGCGCTTGACGAGCTCTGAGAGCAAAAAGGGGTGCCTGGACAACCCAACGGGCCAAGGAGCCCTCCCGTGCGCCTCCAACCCCCGAAACGATGCAGATAAAGCTGGCTGCGGCTTGCGAGCGCTTATCGGGGAGGTCTCGCCTGCACGCAGCCGTTTGGGAGATGCTGCGTGCTCCTTCTCGTTTGGTTCGACTTTTCTCCCTCCCAGCCAAACAGTCCCTTATGGGAAACCCCCTGCGAAGAAGAGGGAGGGGAAAAACAAGTTTGAAAGTACTAAAAAGGAAGAATGAATGGGCTGTGTTTAACCCACCCACTGCTTTCGCCAGCTGTGGGGTTTCGGTATCACAAGCACTGGCTACACGTGTTAGTGTTGACTCCGGCATCCCCTCGTCCCCCTGTGCCCCTCTCCTCCCTATGCCCCCCCACTCCCCGGCCCTGAGAGCTCTCCCGTGGCTGCGGTGGGGGGGGAGGAAGGAGGCTGCAAGGGGATATTCCCAGCGGGCTGATGGTGATGGCAACCGCAGAGCCGTGTTCTTGGGGCAGACAGCGCAGGTGTGGGGATGGCGCCAGCCCAGCAAAGCCCCAGTGTATTTCGTAGAGAGAGCCCATTAATGCTCTCGCCCTAATGAGGTTACTGAGCTCAACCTTAGCAGACACCAGAGCACCCACGTGCCTGGCTCCGGCCGCAGCTGGGAGGTGACTTGCTCACTTCTGCATCCCTGTGGCAAGGCCAGCCGGAGCTGGCCACCCCTGCTTCCCTTTCCCACTGCATCGGTGTTCCCAAGGGGGAAAAGCCTCCTTGTAAGGGGGTTATGAGTCCTTGTCCTTCTCTGCTGAAGGGGGGTTCCCGCTGCTGCAGTGGGGTTTGGAAACGGGTGGTTGCACCAGCGCTGCCCACGACACCAAATCCTGCAGCGTCACCAAATCCTACACAATGGCATGGCCGGTTGCACAACGTCCCCACCGCGGGGATGTAGATCCCTGAGCTTCAGGAAAAGGGGAAATGTCGGAAGTCACAAGATCCCGGGTTTCTGTCCCACCCTGAGCATCATCGCTGCATGGAAGGGATCCCACACAGCATCTCCCAGGATTTAAACACCAGCCACCTGGAGACATCCCTCTTGGGCTCGTGGTGGATGGGGAAAGGAAAATAAACCAGTTGGAGGTTTTTTTAGGGTTTTCTCCCCATTTTTCTAGGATCTAAGAGATGGCAAATTTGACTGGTACTGTTATCCCTGGCAGTGTTCAAGGCCAGGTTGGACACAGGGCTCGGAGCAAGCTGCTCTAGTGGAAGGTGTCCCTGCCCATGGCAGGGGTTGGAGCTGGATGATCTTAAGGTCCTTTCCAACCCAAACCATCCTATGATCCTCTGGATGTCTTGGAAGTTACTGCAAGGCTCCTGAGGATAAAGCTTGGAAATGATGTGGTTGCCCCACAACCCTTTTATTTGGGGAACTGCTTTTGAGAGTGCAGGTGGGGACAGGAGCTTCCTTCTCAACTGCACCAACCCTCCAAAGGGGAGGCAGCATCCTCCCTGGAAAGCAAGGAGTTGGTGAGGTTTGGCAAAGGAGCCCAACCTGAAGGAACAGTGGAGGGGTGCACCCTGCTCTGCTTGGTCACCCCAGAGCTGCTCTTCTGGGGGAAAGCTCTGCCTTTGGGCTGTCCCCAGGTCCCCCCCTGGGCCATGGAGGGGGCAGAGCTGCAGCTGGGGGGCTGGTGGACCCGGGAGCCCTGTTTGTGCCTGGAATGGGCCTGGCAGGGCTCTGCCTGCATGGAGAGGTGTCAGTGGGGTGCTCCTCAGAGCGGGCTGTGTGCAGCTCTGGGCTCCAGCCGTGCTCGGGTCCCTTATCCACCCTCACAGGTCTCCCCAGTTATCAGCTCCGTTTCCCTCCTGTGGACAAGCTTTTTATCTTATCTCCACACTCTTCCTCTGCTTCCTAATTCCTGCCACAGAAAGGAAAAAGAAACCATGGGTGTGTATGTGTGTGGGTGAACAGGCCTGAGATCTCGTTGTAGTAGCTCCAACCGTGGGCTGGGAGACAGCAGGCCATACTTGGAGGATGCTGGGAGATTCTGAGTAACATTTGGAGATGCAGGGTGATGTTTGGCCACGCTGAGGATGCTGAGCCGTGGTCCAGCGATGCTCAGGCAGGTCTTGGGGCTTGCTTGGGTGATGTACACAATGCTCAGGTGATGCTGGGAGGATACCGGGAGACGGTTCAGTGATGCTGTTCGGGCTCACGTGGTGCTCAGGTGTCTCAGTGAGATGCTCAGGAGGTGCAGGGCGGTACTGGGGGGATGCTGGTGATGGCCGGAGATGCTGGGGGCATCCTTGCGATGCTCAGAGGATGCTCAAGGGGAGTGCCGCAGGGCAGTGCTGGGACGGTCTGCCAGCTCCACCTGCTGGCATGCACGCTGTAGGCCAGAGCCCCAAACCAGGAGAGGCCAGGGAGAAGGGTCCCCGTGAGCTGATCCCGAGGTTCCCCACTGAGGATCTAATGTTGCTTCCCAGCTGGGGTGAGTTGGGTAGGTTTAGGATCTCTGCCAGATCCCAGGAGGGTGGGAGAAGGGAAACAAGTACTTGTTGTGCTTGGCCGAGGCTGACGGTGGGACAAGCAGGACTTTCCCTCCTCTCCTTCAGCCTCCCAGTGTGATGCTGAGCATCACAGCTGGATAAGGAAGAGCTGCACATGGGAAGCAACATGCTTTCTCCAGTGAGCACATGGCAAGGTGACTTCGGGGGGGCTCTTGGCAGCCCCTGTCACCCCATTGCTGCTCCACCTCGTGCTGCGCGCTCGCTGTGGATACTCGCTGTGCTCACAGTTTGTTTCCTCTCTCCCGCTCAGGAAGGCCAGCTCACCTCTCCCACCTCGCACTGTACCGGCAGCACCGTACAAATGGCCTCAAAACGTAACGTGGAGCCTCTGGAGCCTGTGATCTTCGTCAAGCTACCTCGGCTGGAGAAGGACCCCGGCGCCAGCTTCCCCACGGGCCACTGCAAACCGGGCTCCAAACCCCATTTTGACTACAAGGGCTCCTACTTTGCCTGCACGCTGCAGAGCCCCAATGGCTCCAAGGCGCCCCACATGCAACAGAGCCCCGCATCTCCCCACCTGCACTACGGCACCGGTGCCAGCAGCCAGCCCATGCCGGTGGAGGGACCAGGCGAGTGCTGCCCCCCCAACCCACCCGAGAGTGTGGGACCTGGGCTTCAGCCCCCCCCCAGTGCTGAGATGGGCAGGGACAGGCCGGTGCCGGAGCCGGTGGTGGCCAGGGAGAAGTGGGGCAGCGTGGAGCCAGGGAACCCCTTCCTGGTGAGGCACCCGGCAATGGTGAAGAGGGCACCCACCCTGGCTGTCCCCAGGCCCATGTACAGGGCTCCTGCATACTTCATGGACCTCAGGGTGGCTCAGCCGCTGCAGCAGAGACCAGGCAATGCAGACTGGGCTCTGTCTGCTGCCAGCCACCCCTTCCACCCGGGGGAGCAAAGGAGGGGACCCCACGCTGACCCCAGCCTCCCACCGCTGCACCCCGTCATGGTGCTGCCCGCCAGGGAGAAGGTGGGCTCCCCGGCTGCCTTCTCCCCCTACTACGCTGCCTTTCATCAGTACCGGAGCCCCCCCAAATCCCCGTTCCTGGATGACAGCCCCCCCAGCCAGAGGAAGGTGCCTGAGACGCACAGGCTGAGCCCGGAGCCCTGGCACAAGCTCTGTCCACCCGCCACCAGCACCGGGTACCAGGAGAGGCCACCCGAGTGTTATCCGTCCCTCCATAAAGCTCCCCTCCTCTTCCCCCCACCGGCACCCCACATGGAAGCACAGCCCTCTGCCTACAGAGGCTTTGGCTTCGAGGGAAGCAGGGAGCCCTATCCCGGCACTTACCTCAGGCCCCAAGCCCCATGGAGATTCTTTCCCACCCCGTCGGATACCTACATGCCAAGGGCAACCAGTGTAGTGGTGTTTCCCCCTTCCAAGCCAGCGGCGCTGCCGAGGGATGTGAAGCCATCGAGGCAAGAGGGGTACGTGCTGAGCTCCAGCTTTGCCTTCAGTCCCGGTGGCACGGCTGCATCCAGCCCCCCCAGAGCCCACAGGGAGCCGGGATGTGAGCAGCACCAGGCAGAAGATCCCCGCTGGCCAGGGGTGGTGAGGCACAGCAGTGTTTTCCAACCCCTCTGCGCCCAAGAGGCGCCTGGGGGCTCCGGTGAGATCCCAGAGGCCTTTCCCAAAGGACAAAGGGGCTTAGGGAAGCAGGAGCCTGCTAACCCAGAGAGAAGAGCCAGCCCGGCCCCCCAGGAGACCCCCCGTGAGGGACCACCGGCTCTCATCAGCATAGAGAAAGGAGATACTTGCAAGGTCAAGGATGCAACCAAGGATCTCATCTCTCCTTCTCCGCCTGCATCCCTGCCAGAGGGGCCGGAAGACCCAAGGGACAGCGAGGTTCCTCCTCCCTCCCCGCCCATGCCGGTGATCAAAAAAGTCTTCAGCCTGGCATCCTATGGAGACTTCCTGGAGGAGGCCGAGGGCTCGGACTCCTTCTGCAGGGAGCACCTGTGGGAGGACGCGGACCCCCCAGACACGGTGCCCGCCGCGGCCGGCCAGGAGCTGGCCCATAAAGGGGTGGTGCAGGGCCAAGGGGAGAGCGGGTGCAGGGGGGTCCCTGGAGAGCCAGAGCCTGAGCCCGAGCCCCAGGCCCTGGGCTCTGAGGAGGGGGCGCTGGACCTCAGCGTGAAGAAGAGATGGGTGGAAGTCGGGGAGAGCATCTGGATGCTGGATGGGGAAGAGGGGAAGGAGGAGGAGGAAAAGGGTGAAGAGAGGGAGGCGGGAGGGCAAGTGGGAACCCAGCTCCAGAGGGACCCCTTGCTGGTCAGGGTCATCTCTTGGGACAAGAGCAGCTTCCAGAGATCGGCCTCCTTCCTGGTCCTGCGCTCCCCCTTAGCTGCACCCAGCACCATTCCTGCTCCATCCAGCACCATTCCCACTCTATCCAGCACCATTCCTGCTCCATCCAGCACCATTTCCACTCTATCCAGCACCATTCCTGCTCCATCCAGCACCATTTCCACTCTATCCAGCACCATTCCTGCTCCATCCAGCACCATTTCCACTCTATCCAGCACCATTCCTGCTCCATCCAGCACCATTCCCGCTCCATCCAGCACCATTCCCACTCTATCCAGCACCATTCCTGCTCCATCCAGAGCCATTCCTGCTCTATCCAGCATCATTTTCGCTCCATCCAGCACCATTCCTGCTCCATCCAGAGCCATTCCTGCTCTATCCAGCACCATTCCCGCTCCATCCAGAGCCATTCTTGCTCTATCCAGCACCATACCTGCTCCATCCAGCACCATGCCTGGTCTATCAGGCACCATTCCTGCTCTATCCAGCACCATTCCAGCTCCGTCCAAAGCCATTTCCACTCTATCCAGCACCATTTCTGCTCCATCCAGCACCACTCCTGCTTTATCCAGCACCATTCCTGCTCCATCCAGCACCGTGCCTGCTCCATCCACCTCCATTCCTGCTCCACCCAGCACCATTTCTGCTCCATCCATCTCCACTCCTGCTGCATCCAGAACCATTCTTGCTCCATCCTGCACCATGCCTGCTCTATCCAGTACCATTCCTGCTCTATCCAGCATCATTCCTTCTCCATCCAGCACCACTCCTGCTCCATCCACCACCATTCCCACTCTATCCAGAACCATTCCTGCTCTATTCAGTACCATTCCTGCTCTATCCAGCATCATTCCTGCTCTATCCAGCACCACTCCTGCTACATCCAGCACCATTCCTGCTCTACCCAGCATCATTCCCACTCTATCCAGCACCATTCCCACTCTATCCAGTGTCATTCCTGCTCTACCCAGCACCATTCCCGTTCTATCCAGCACCATTCCCGTTCTATCCAGCACCATTCCTGCTCTGTCCTGCCTCATTCCCGCTCTATCCAGCAAGATTCCCACTCTCTCCAGCACCACTCCCGCTGCACCTAGCATCATTCCCGCTGCACCTAGCATCATTCCTGCTCTATCAAGCACGATTCCTGCTCTTTCCAGTACCATTCCCGCTCCATCCAGCACCCTTCCCGCTCTACCCAGCACCATTCCCGCTCCATCCAGCACCACTCCTGCTCTACCCAGCACCGTTCCCTCTCCACCCAGCACCCTTCCCGCTCTACCCAGCACCATTCCCGCTCCATCCAGCACCCTTCCCGCTCTACCCAGCACCGTTCCCTCTCCGCCCAGCACCACTCCTGCTCTACCCAGCACCGTTCCCTCTCCGCCCAGCAGCCCGCAGTGCAGCCCAGCGCCCTGCAGCAGCTCCCCCCCTGCCTCCCCGCAGCCCGGCCCCCAGCCCAGCCCCATGGCGCTGCCGGAGCCCCCCAGCTCGGCGCCGGGCGAGGAGCCGGAGCCGGGGCCGGTGCCCTCTGCCGAGCACTGCTTCACCGCCCTGCACACGGGGCTCTGCGACCTCCTCTCGTGCTCCGTGACCCGCTCCTCCCCGCAGCGCCTGCGGGAGTGGCTCCGGAAGGCGGAGGCGGCGGAGGAGCAGGAGGAGACGGTGCCCAAATCCCCCCTGGAAGCCAAGAACGGCTCCAGGCTCCCCGAGCATCACAGGGCCGCCAAGGGCAAGGAGGTCTGGTTGGCTTTCCAGGACGTGCCTGCCCTCCTCGCCAACCTGCTGTCCCAGCTGGAGACCTTCATGTTCGCTCCCTCGTGTCCTTTCCCACACGTGGTGCGGGCAGGGGCCGTCTTCATCCCCATCCACGTGGTGAAGGAGAAGCTCTTCCCCAAGCTCCCCGGCGTCTCCGTGGACCAAGTGCTGCAGGAGCACAAGGTGGAGCTGCGCCCCACCACGCTCTCGGAGGAGAGGCACTTGAGGGACCTGGAGCTGAAGAGCTGCACCTTGCGCATGCTGAAGCTCCTGGCACTCAAGCAGCTCCCTGACATCTACCCGGACCTGCTGAATCTCCACTGGCACAACTCCATCAAGCAGCAGCTGGGTAAGCAGCCCTGTGGAGGGCTGGGGACACCCTGGGACTCCTCCTCCAGGGAAGCTCCAGCTCCATCGGCCTCCCAAGATGCAGCTGATCGGCTTGCATTGTCCCTCAGCATCCTGGTCCTCCCAAGGGTTCTGTGGGCATTTGGTCCCTGTGAGGGTCTGAGGCGCTGGCACAGGGTGCCCAGAGAAGCTGTGGCTGCCCCATCCCTGGCAGTGTTCAAGGCCAGGTTGGACACAGGGGCTTGGAGCAAGCTGCTCTAGTGGAAGGGGTCCCTGCCTGTGGCAGGGGTTGGGACTGAGTGAGCTTTAAGCTCCCTTCAACCCAAACCATCCTGGGTGATTCAGCTTTCCCCTGTGGGTTGTGGAGGAGGAAGGCTTGAGCTGGGGGTGGTGATGGAGCCAGGGGATGAGAAAAGTCATTCTGGGGATATCAGGGGGGTTTGCTGCTGCTCAAGGCTGTTGCCAACAGCTTCATCTCTTCCAGGTTCAATCTCGACGGCTGGCAAGAATCCCTCCAAGTAGGTCACTCTTCCTGTGGGTGTGTTTGGATTTACATGCGCCGTGACTGTCTGTGTATTTGTGTGCATTTGCTGTGATGATGGGGAGCTTGGGCTGGCTGGGGAGGAGCACAAAGTGGCTCTGCTGGGCTGGAGGGGGGCTTATTTGGGATGGGGAGGTGAAGACCCTGCCCTCCCTAACCACGCTTTTCTCCCCCAGGTAGTCCTGGCATGGAGGTTCTGATGGCAAAGTGATAGCTATGGATAGCACAAAGAAAAAGGAGGCATGAAGGAATGTGCCGATGGCAGGAGCCGAGCTGCCTGTGATGCAGATGCTGAGGATGGGGACAGGTCCTCCAGGATGCTGATGCCTGGAACAGGGATGCTCCAGGGTGATGCCCTGGCTGGTGTGGTACCCATAGGAATGCGCTCAAGCCCCTCACAGCAGCTGGAGCTGCATTTCTTTCCATGCCTCATCTTGTAGAGCATCTCCCACCTCCATCCATGACCAGCCCGGTTGCAGCTGGAGAACCAGGAGGGAATGATTGGAGTTCCAATGGAGCGGCTCCAAGGGGAGCATGGCAGTGGCCACAGAAGACTGGCTGCTGCAGGGATGATTTACCACATCCCCTCCTCTCTGCTCTGACTCGCCTCTGCTGCTTTACACACTCCGTTCCCAATAAAGAAACCTTCCTCCTGGCTTTGAATCTTTCCAGGGCTCTGGAGATTTAACCCATCTCAACTGGTCAAGGGAACCGCGACGTCGGGAGTCCCAGGACTGATTTTCTTCTTGTTTTAAATGAAGACATTTTTTAACTGTTCTGAATTTACCTTTATAAGGAGCTGCTGCCTTCGGGTTATGTGGGGTTTGTATAAAAGTAGAGTAATTTATACTTGTGGTTTATTTGAACTCGTGGTTTCTCCTCTTCCCTGCCGGACCAGTGGGAGCTTGTTGGGGCCAAGGGTTTCGGTCCCAATCGGAGCTTAAAATAGCTGCAAGAAGGCTTTAAAGGCAGCTAAAGAAGCTCAGCTCACTGCACCACGCACATCCCAGCTGTCCCAATGGAGAACATGGGGCATCCACGAGGGACAACCTTGATGGAGATGTGGTGATGCCGGAGGGGCGGGAGAGGGGAGCGATGCAGCGAGACCTTGGGAGGAGAGATGCTTTCATCCCTGCATGGGCTGATGGAAAGTTGATGGGGATCCCGGGAGGAATCCTGCCAGCCTGCACGCCCCTTGCCCGGTCTGCAGCAGCAGGACACAGCAGAGACCTTACAAACTCAACACTCGGGCGTTCTTCCGGCTGATTCTGGGCGCGGAGGAGCAAAACAAGGATTTATTGTTCTTTTGTATTTCACTACAGGAAATATTTATTTTAAAACAAACAAAAAAAGCCAACTAAAAATAAGAAAAACCCCACCAGAGACTGCGGTTTGATCCGTGTGTTTCTGGTTTTCCATTGGGATGTGCTGGCCATGGATGGGATAGGGAAGGAGGGATGCAGCTCCCCCTTGCCATCCACACGTGTGCATAGCATTGTAAAGCAGTGCTTGTTGATAATACTGTATTTTTTGTACATGTCTATATATATATGAGAGGTTCCAGGGAAGAAAGTTCCTTCACTTTATTTAATGTTTTGTAAGAACATGGATTCTAAGAGGTGCCTTGCCTGAATAAAAGGGTTTGGTTCATTTCCAGACACCGTGTTTCAGCCTCTAATTGCCAGCATGGGCACCACGGGACCTTTCCAGGGACAAAGGGGGGTCCCGCATCAGCACCCAGCACCACCCAGCTGGCTTGCACAGACCAAGCCACAGGTCTGGGTCCCCCCTGCAATGCACTTGCTAGCTTCTCCCTGCAAGAAGCCATGAGTGATGTGCCCATCTCCATCCACTGGTCCACTGTGAGGCCTGCTGGGGGTGCCCCGTGGGTCACGCATTGGTGAGCACCCAAGGGAGCACATCCCAGCACCCATGAAGGCAACATCCCAGGTGATAGCTGGGCAGGAGGGTGCTGGTGGAGGTGTCTGCATCAGAAGCTGGTCAGGAGAGCTGTGGGTGCAGCAGGGTTGGCAGCGGTCCCCTGGGGTCCCTATCCCTTATGAACCCCCATGAGGAGCATGAAATCTGCCTGGTCCTGAGAGCCAGGCACCCCGAGCCACGTTTCCAACCCAAATCACTCCATCCTGGCAGGAGAATACAGGGTTATAGGAAACATCCTCAAGCTGGTGCTTGGGAAACAAAGTGCCAAGGGCTTAATGAGGAGCAGAGGGAAGCTGGGACCCTTCCAGAGGCAAAGAGCTTCACCTGGGGTGGTGCAAATGAGCTTGGGTGTGAATTGAGAGCAGCTGGAATGGAGCCACTATCAGGCCTTGGCAATGGGATAAAAGCACGGGGCTGGGCTGGGAGCTTGGTGCTCTCTTCCCCTTGGGTGCTGCCAGGTAAGGGGTGCTGCTGGGCTGGAGCATCCTGTGGCCTCCAGTGAGGTTATCAGGGATGTGGTGGGTGTTTGGGGCAGGGAATGGGGTAATGGCTGACCCCAAGGCCGGTTGCAGCTGTGCTCTGCACCAGGAGCCTTCCTGGGTGATGCTGAGCCCTAGCACAAAGCTTCCTGAGCTGGGGAAGCTGCTCAGTGCTGCTGGAGACCAGGGAGGTGTTTGACGAGGGGCATCATGTCCTTGGCTCTGGTGTGCGGGTGCTTTGGGTGTAGGATTGTCACTGCTTGGGGGCAGCTTGGAGGGACCCAGCTTAAAGCCCCTCCTGTGTCTCTCCACAGCTGGGCTCTCCCCATGGCCTCTCCTGAGCTGAGCAGAGGGGTAGGACCCCCAGGCCCTACGGACACTGCTGCCCTGCAGCCACAACCCATGCCCTGTGCTGAGAGGGAAGGGGCTGTGGATGTGGCTCCTGCTGCCCATGTGGCTGCTGCTGTGGGTGGGCTGCGGTGCAAAGCCTTCCTGGTGCTGGGCATCTGCCTGTCTGCCACCGCCCTGCCCTATGGCCTGGGGTCTCTGGCTGTCCTGCTGGGCCCCCTGGCACCATCCCATGCTTGGCCTGACTCACCAGGCTCCCAGAGAGAGACCAGTGGTGATCTGATGGCAACACACAGGGGCCTCCGTGAGGAGCCAGCGATGCAGCAGCATGGAAGGGTGCTGATGGGTTCGGTGGGCACCCCAGGGGTCAAAGGAGATGTGACCCATGGGGTGGATGCTGAGGGATGGAGTGTGACCCATGGGGTGGATGCTGAGGGATGGAGTGTGACCCATGGGGCGGATGCTGAGGGATGGAGTGTGACCCATGGGGTGGATGCTGAGGGATGGAGTGTGACCCATGGGGTGGATGCTGAAGGATGGAGGCTGACCCATGGGGCGGATGCTGAGGGATGGAGTGTGACCCATGGGGCAGATGCTGAGGGATGGAGTGTGACCCATGGGGTGGATGCTGAAGGATGGAGCCTGACCCATGGGGCAGATGCTGAGGGATGGAGTGTGACCCATGGGGTGGATGCTGAAGGATGGAGCCTGACCCATGGGGCAGATGCTGAGGGATGGAGTGTGACCCATGGGGTGGATGCTGAAGGATGGAGCCTGACCCATGGTGTGAATGCTGAGGGATGGAGTGTGACCCATGGGGTGGATGCTGAGGAATGGAGCCTGACCCATGGTGTGGATGCTGAGGGATGGACCCAGGGGACACAGACTGCTCAGACCTCACTGCTGGGGCATCCCGGACCCAGGGACCAGGAAGGGCTCATGTTGGGCACAGCAGTGGCTGTGACACCATCCCCTGCGCAGTGGCTTGGTACAGGGGTGCCTGATACCTCTGCTCAGGTCCTCCAGCCCCTGGGTGAGCCCAGCCCTGGCTCCTGGCATGGCCCAGCTTCAGGAAGTCCCCGTGGCCCAGAACCAGGCTCACACGATGCAACGACCTCAGCCCGTGGTGTTGGGCAGGCTGCGGGCACAGCAGAGCCCTGGCACCCTGAGGGGAGCTCTGAGGACAGCACAGGGTCAGTGTGGAGCGTGACGGGAATCCCCTCCCAGAGCCACAGCTTGATGGAGGAGCGGACACCAGCCCTTGGGGCATCCCCTGGCCCTTGGACCATGCCCCACAGAGCTGATCTGAGCCTGGCTGTGAGCTCTGAGCCTGCTGCTGCGGTCACAGCCAGCACCTCGCCTCCCTGGGCTCCCAGCGGCGCAACTGCAGCTCCTCAGCCTGCAGTCAGTGGAGCTTCCATTGCCGGAGCCACAGCGAGGAGCTGCAACGGGCAGAAGGGAGAGGTGAGGCCAAGCCCTGAGCGTGGTGGGGGTGAGGACCACACGGCCGCTCCTCCCCTGCCCTGGCTGCCCTCAGCTCCGCCAGCAGCAGGGATGTCCATCTCCAGCACCGCTCATCCCGGCACCGAGTGGGTCCCCTCTGCTGCGACGCCTGAGGTGCTCTGGGACACGCAGCCCGCTGGCACCTTCCTGCACGGAGAAGCTGCTCTGCCGGTGGATGCCGTGGCCGGTGCTGCAGGAAATGGGTCTGTGTTTCTGGGCACGGTCCTGGCTTCCTTCCCCAGTGCTGCGCCGGCTCATGGGGCCACCCACCCACAAGTCCTGGCTCCTTCCCTTCCTACAGTGGAGCCCGTGGGACCTGCTGTCACCCTGGGGAAAGCGAGCAGCCCATCTGCACCCCCTGCACAGCAGCCTATGGCACCCACCAGAGCCCACCCCTCCCCAGCTTGGACCAGGGCTCCCGGTGCTGTGGGTCCCTCTGTGACTGGGGTGAGCGCAGCAGCAGCCTCTGATGCCACCGCAGAGCCTGGAGTGACCGAAGCCTCCCACAAGGATGGAGCTGCTGTGGTGACCCCCCCCTCCCCACGAGCTGCAGCATCACCTGCCCAGGGGCCATCTCTGTGTCCAGACCCCTTCCTCACAACAGCATCTGCAGATGGACCCTCTGCAGGGCAGCACCATGAGGCCACTACGGGGGCTGCCCCAGCAGGACCTCCAGAGCCCCCCAGTGCCAGCCCAGGCTCCAAGCTGCCCACTCTGGAGCATGGCTCTGGTGCTGCTCACCGTGCTGGCACCACGTTCCCATCCCCATCCTACCCGCTGGCTTCCACCAGAGCTGTGCATGCAGTCAGCTCCCAGCCCGTGCCCTGTGATGCTCAGCCCATGTCCAGGCACTCTGTCACCTCCCAGCAACCCTCCGCAGCCACAGAGCATCTCCCTGCATATGAGCCGATGCCCACGGGCAAACCTGGCTCCCCGGCTCCATCCCACCCCTCCGGGCTCCCCTCTTCTGCTCACGTTCTGCCCTTGCAGTTCCGGCTCTTGGGCATCGCTTACACGGAGGCTCTGAGCAGCAGCGCTTCAGAGAGCTACAGGCGGCTGGAGGAGGAAGTGATGCTGCTGGTGAGTGCAGGAGTTGGCGGGTGGGGATGCTGGTGCTTTGGGGTGCAGCTGAGGAGCTACTGCTGGGGTGAGGAGCCGGAGGGCTCTCTTCATGGTGGAGACGAGCAAATCCCACCACTGGAGCTGGACGGGGTTCCTGGTTTGAGGTGGGACTTGGGCAGCCATCGGGGCTGTTGTACACTGGTGGTGCTGGGGTGTCCCCTCCTGGCTGCTGTCTCTACGCTGATGGAGCCCTGGCTATGTCAGCTTAGCCAGGACCGCCTCCAGAGACCTGGAATACCCCTTCCCACGGGCCCAATTAACACGTGCTTCTGTCTTCCAGCTGAACCAGACACTGTCCATCTATGAGACCTTCCTGCGGGCAAAAGTCCTAGAGTTCATGTGAGTGGCAACGTGGAGAGGGGTGGCTTTGGCTTGGATGGAAGTGTTTGCGCAGTGAAATGCTCTTGTGAGGGGCCGCACTCCCTCCACAGGGGCATCATCCCAAGGGATCCCTGCCTGCAGGTGGCTGAAGCCCTGACTTTGGGTGGGTGTTCATGTGGGGATGGGGGGCTCCGAGCTGCCCAAGGCCTGCTCTCCCTGCAGGAACGGCTCGGTGGTGGTGCGAGCGCAGGCTCTGTTCTGGGGGGATGCTCCTGCTCCCACCAGCTCCCACCTCATCCGCACCATGGTCACGGAGGCGAGCAGAGGAAGGAGCTCCTTCAGCTGGCGGCTGGAGCCACGGTCTGTCCAGTCCGGTGGTAAGCAATGGAGACCTTCCCAGAGCACAGCCGCTGCTCTCAGCGTCCTCCCTGTACCTCTGTCAAAGCCAGAACTTGCCCAGTCCGCACTGAAGTGAAGGTGAAGCCTGAACATCCCAACCCATGCAGAGCCCTGTAGTGTTAAGGCTGCTGGAGGCAACATCTGCAGCAGTTGGACCTGTGGGGTCCAGTGTTCCTGCTAAACCCTATGGCTTCCTCTCCTCAACCTGCTTCTCCTGTCCTGTCCTGCCAAGCCCTTCCCACCGCTACAAGCCACTCATCCTCGCCCAGGATGAGGTACCTCACCCTGCCGTGCTGGGCTCTGTATTCAGTGCAGAGGATGCTCAAGACTGATGATAGGTCCAAGGATGGTGAAGGAGCAGGGATGAGTGTAACTGTCTGAACACTTGCAGGGTTCAGCCTGGAGAACCTGGCCCCGGAGAAGCTGTCCATCTCCTTCACTGTCCTCCAGCCTGACAGGAGCAGGACAGACCCCCTGGCGGGGGTGATCAGCAAGGTATGGTGAGCCTTGGGGGCTCTTCCCAAAGACGATGCTGGGAGGATGGGCCCAGGCTGGCTGCTGCCTGCACCATGGGACAGCGCATCCTAAAGCAGGGGCGAGGTGTGAGTTGTTTTCTCTTCATCCAGGTGACAGAGTCTCTTGGTGCCCTTCACCGTGTGAGGAACTTCACTATCACCCAGCTCAGGTATGGGGCACAACTGCCCAAAGCTCTTCATTTAATGTCTTTCACTGCCCTTTGTGTGCTCTCTGTGGCATTAGCCATGCTGCAAGGGTGGGAAGGATGAGCTCTGCTGCACTAGGGAGCTCAGGAGGGTGATGTGGGGCTGGCGGCAATGCCCTGAGCCTTGTCCTTGGGCTGAGGAGCCATGAAAGAGCAGGGCCAGCCAGGGTGTGCTTGGGGAGCCTGTTCCACCTCCCTGCCTTGCTTAGAGCCTTTCTTCCCCTAGAACCCACAGTGGGGACCTGGAGCTCACTGGAGACGTTTACCTTGACACCATCGCCCATGTGGATGTTCCGGAGGCTCTGCAAGCCCTGACGGCTCTGAAAGCCTGCTCTGTGGACCTGACCTCGCTCTTGCTGGAGGGTGAGGGCAGCCCCTGTGTGCTGGTGGGGCTCGGGGCCAGTGCTGCTCACCCACCAGCCCTGCCTTGCCTCCCCAGGAGCCAGGCTGCACCTCCAGCTGTACCCGCTCTCCCTCCTCGTCACCAACAGACGCTTCAGTGAGGACCTCCTGGATCCACTCTCTGCAGAGCACCACGAGCTCAGCACGGGCATTGGGGATGCGGTAGGAATGGCTGGAGGGGGCAGAGCAGGGTCCTTCAGGGTGCTGGGGACCACGGGAGGAGGAGGAGGGACTGCTTTGGGGTTGTCTGAACCAGATCCACATCTCCAGTGTTGTGCTGGTGCCTGCTGGAGGCTGGCACTGAGGCGTCCCTGACAGGGTGCTGGCACCTCTGCTGATGGCGGTTCAAGCCACCACACTACACATGGAGGTGCTGCAGGGCCACAGCTGCCCTGTGTTCCTGCTGTGCTGACTGACCCAGCTCCATCATCAGTCACAGAATGCCGTTGGGAGGGACCTCAAGGATCATCTGGTCCAACCTTTCTAAGCAAAGCATGACCCAGACCAGATGTCCCAGCACCTTGTCCATTGCTGGGAGTCCTCCCCTTCCCTGGGGAGGTGGAAGTGGGGATCTGGCTGGGGGAAACCTCTCGGAGGCTGGTGTGGAGCTGAGCCCAAACCTCTCTTTCAGGTGGCGCGAGCCCTGAGGGACCACAGGAGCTTCCTGCAAGCGCTGCTAAGAGAATTCCTGTGAGTGGGAGCAGAGGCTCTGCTGGGGCAGGGCTGGGGAGGTCTCCCCATAGACATCAACAGCCAGGTCATGGCTGTTGGGGGTTACCTCTGCCACACGAGGGCCTGCAGCAGGCACCCTCGGGGATGTCCTTGCCATCCCAAAGAGCAGATCCAGACCCATTGCCTCACTGAGCAGCACTGGTGTGTGGTGTCGGGGGGGGGGTGATGGGACTAATGGCTGCTGGAGCTCTTCCTACCTCACCCTACAGGCCTGGCTCCTTGATCTGCCATGGGGACTTGGTCTTCCTGCACCCAGCTCCAACCAGCCTGGAAGTGTTGGAGGCGCTTGTGCTCTCAGTTGGCTCAAACAAGGCTTTGGCTGGTTCAGACTTCCAGGTGGATCCGTATTCCCTTGCTGTGGGAGGTAAGCATCCCTTTGGGGCATGGGTAGAGAAGCCTGTGGCTCTATGCACGCTGAAAGCTTAGATCCATAACTAGCTAGGTGCAGGTCCTTTGGGCAAGGGGAGGGTGACACCTCCTGGCTGGTGAGGTGACAGCTTGCAAGGGCTGATTTGAAAGGGCCATTCTGGCAGCAACCATGCCCTCATCCCTGTCTCCAATACACCATGTGCTGCAGGCTGGCAGAGGACAGGAGGGAAGGGTCACCTCCTGCAGGGTGTCTCATGGATGTTATTGCCCTGTGTCCTGTGCTACCCTGGTATTCCACCCACTGATCCAACCCCTTGTGTTCTGCTCCAGAGGACACCCTGGAGCCACCCCTGCCTGAGCCAGGCTTCCCGGAGTATGGTGTGGCCATCATGGTGGTGTGTGGCCTCGTCATCATCACTGTTCCTGTCATCTTGCTGCTGGTAAGGGCCCTGTCTGTGTTTGGGGGGGGGAACAGTATCAAGCCAGGGTGAAGCAGTGCTGGTCTCTGAGCAGAGAGACCACTGAGGAGTCAAGCATGGCTGCAGCCCCTGTGCTCTCCTCCCCAGTGCTTGAGGACCAAGAGGCTGAGCTGGTGGCACGTGGAACCTCTCTCGGACAGAAGAGACCCTGAAGCAGGGATCCAGACCCTGGAAATGGATAGCCGAGGCTTCTGGGCATCCTCTGAGCAGGCAAGTGGCTTCTAGGCCCCTGAATTGAGCTCCTCTGCTGCAGAGCTGGAGCCTTGAGGTGCAGCTGAGGTTAGGGCAGGTCCCTGATGTACCTGAGGGCTTTGAGGCAGCCCTGTGGGGGTGGAGACCTCCCCACTGCCCTTGGTGGAACAGCTTCTCCCCCTCTCCCCACAGGGCGCTGGGGATGCTCAGCCACAGTGGCACAGTTCCTCTGCCTGAGGAGAGGAAACGCAGCTGATGGGGGAGCCTGAGGAGCAGCTATGGGGGGAGAGATGCCAAGAAGCCATCCCTGCTCCCTGGTGGATGCAGGCTCAGTAGACAAAGAAATCTGTATGTTGAACTTTATTAAACTGTTTATAAAACGCCAAAGCCAGTGGTGCAGGGGCTCTGCTTCTGGGCTGGGTTTGCTGCAATCTCTGCCTCCCCAGGCTCTAGTGATGTGGGTTAAAGGGGTGAGGAAATGCTTCCCTCGTGGGGCTGGGGTGAGGGAACTGGGGGCTGCCCGTCACCCCAGCAGGCTCAGCACCCACGGCTGGGGGCTGTCAGTAATGGCAAGGAGAAGCGTTGGGGCTTTGCCACCCAAAAGCGTGCTTTCCCCAGGCTCTGGAGGCAGGAAGCAACTCTACAGACAGACACTCGCTGCCAGGAGCAGCTTCAGGAACTCTTCTCTAGCTACAGGTCAGCCAGTGCTGCGGGTCCCCACAGCAGGCACGGGCAGAGCTGGCCGCAAGCTGCTCTGGGGGTGCTGGACCCGTGGGAGGGATGCTCCGGGGCTGTGCTGATCTCCCCGCTCCTCTCCAAGGGGGAGAGCGGCTCCAACTGCGCTTCCCTCTGAGCTGCCGCACACGGAACCCGCTTCCTGGGGGAAAACCGGCTGCGTCCTTGGAGCCGCTTCCCAACGGGAATGGTGGGGATAGAGGAGGAACAGCTGGAGGACGGAAAACGGCTGCTGTGCCCAAATGCGCCAGACGCGACCTGGCCTCAGCCCCTGCCCTGGCCCGACCCCGAGAGGTTATTCCCGCACCAGCTCTGGGATCTCTATTGCAGCTCCAGGAGATCCCATCCCCAGGTTCTGTGCTGCAGCTCTGCCCCACAAGCTTTATTGCGAGCCCCACACCCGGTGTTTCAGCTCCCGCTCTGCCCCAGGGCACTACCAGCCCTAAAGTGCTTATTTTGGCCTCGGCAGTGGGAAATTCCAGCTCAGCCCCACAGGGTTTTATTCCAGCTCTGTGGGATTGCAGCTCGTTCCCACAAGCTTTAGGGCCAGCTCCAGTTCTGCATGGTCTTGGCTCCAGACCCACAATTGTTATTCAGGCTCCAGCTCAGCCCCAGTCTCAACTAATTTCAGCTCATTCCCACAACTTTGTTTTCCAGCTCCAGCACTCTCAATCCAGCCCTGGTTCTGTGCTGTATCGGGTCTGGCTCCAGGTCTCTATGAAAGGCCAGCCCCAGGGGATCACAACCTGCAATGATTTTTGGCTCATTCCCATGAGTTTTATTTTCCAGCTCCAGCAGGTGCATTCCAGTCTGGCTCAGTCATGGCCCAGCTCTGGCTCTGTACCCCAGATGCGAAGCATCCCAGCCCTCAGTGATTTCACCTCATCCCCCCCCCCCCCCCCCCCCCCCCCCAGTTTCATTCTCCAGCCCCAGTGCTCTCATTCCAGCTCTGGCTTCAGAGTCTTTATTTCACACCCAGCTCCAGGAGATCCCAGCTCCAACTCTGTCTCTAGTTCAGCTCAGTCCTATGGGATTTATCCAGATCCAGCCCCACACTCAGTGATTTCAGCTCATTCCCACAAGCTTTATTCAAGCTTTATTTTCCAGCTCCAGAAGATTCATTCCAGCCCTGCCTTATCCCACCTCCAGCTGAGATCCCATCTCCAGCCCCAGCCAACATCCAAGCCCTCAGTGATTTCACCTCATTCCCATCAGCTTTATTTTCCTGCCCCCGTGCTTTCTTTCCAGACCTGGCCTTCTTTTCTAAGCCCATCCAAGGTCCCAGCCCTCAGTGATTTCACCTCGTTCCCACAAGCTTTATTCTCCAGCTCCAGTGCTTTCATTCCAGCTCTGTGGAGGCTCAGCTCTGGCTCCAGAGTCTCTATAGCAGCCCAGCTCCAACCCTGTCTCTAGTTCAGCTCAGCCCTATGGGATTTATCCAGATCCAGCCCCACACTCAGTGATTTCAGCTCATTCCCACAAGCTTTGTTTTCCAGCTCCAGGAGATTCATTCTGAACCAGCTCTGCCTTATTCCTGCTCCAGCTGATATCCCATCTCTAGCCCCAGCTGTGGTCCCAGCCCCAGAAAAGACCATGGCTCTCAGTGATTTCAGCTCATTCCCACCAGCTTTATTTTCCAGCTCCAGGAGATTCATTCCAGTCCAGCTCTGCCTTAACCCAGCTCCAATCTGCAGCCAAGATCCCAGCCCTCAATGATTTCACCTCGTTCCCACAAGCTTTATTCTCCAGCCCCCGTGCTTTCATTCCAGCCCTGCCTCTGTGGAGGCTCAGCTCTGCCTCCAGTCTCAGCCCAGCTCCAGGAGATCCCAGCTCCAACCCTGTGTCTCCAGTTCAGCTCAGTTCTATGGGATATATCCAGATCCAGCCCCACACTCAGTGTTTCAGCTCATTCCCACAAGCTTTATTTTCCAGCTCCAGCACTCTCGTTCCAGTCCATCTCCACCTTATCCCACCTCCAGCTGAGATTCTGTGATTTCACCTCAATCCCGCTGTTGGAAAAGGGCAAAGCCTTTATGATAAAACAATTATATAAAATAGTAGAAATGATTACGTTTGAGAAATTTATAAATCAGTAGTGGGGTTTTGTATTGGGGTTTTGTATATTGGGGTTTTGTATATTAGAAAATGTTGTAACTTTGCAATTTTGTGTCACGGCTGTTCTGTAACCAGTGTTGCAATGATAGTCTTAGTAACAAAAACCTCTGTGTATGGGTGGATTTAGAAAGGCATGTACTGGAGACTATACCCAAGTAGAACCTATGCATAAGGTAGCCAGAACAGCATACCAGAAGCTGATAAGAAAATGCTAGCGTCCACACAAGGGTTGGGATATATCGAAGTAAGGAAAAGGTAAAGAGGAAGACTTCTTACTTCATCTGAGGAAGACTCCTTACTTCATCGGAACGACCACCAGGCGACCACCAGAGGGGGCTGCGCAAGCGTAGAAGAGGCTGGTGCCGTAACACTCCTGATGTGGCCGTCCTTAATGCATATGCATTAGCTAATGTTGTAATCCGTGTTAAACGTGTATAAATTGCGAACGCGATGTGACGAGGTTGGAACCAGATTTGGGTGCGTACCCCTGGTTTCCCAGCGCTGCAATAAAGCACCTCATACAACCATTCCGGTGGTTATGTGTTTGTTCCCATGCTAACGCCACAAGCCTTATTCTTCAGCTCCAGTGCTTTCATTCCAGCCCTGGCTCTATAGCAGCCCAGCTCCAGGAGATCCCAGCTCCAACCCTGTGTCTCTAGTTCAGCTCAGTCCTATGGGATTTATCCAGATCCAGCCCCACACTCAGTGATTTCAGCTTATTCCCACCAGCTTTATTTTTCAGCTCCAGGAGATTCATTCCGAACCAGCTCCCTTATCCTTGCTCCAGCTGAGATCCCATCTCTAGCCCCAGCTGTGGTCCCAGCCCCAGAAAAGACCACGGCTCTCAGTGATTTCAGCTCATTCCCACCAGCTTTATTTTCCAGCTCTAGGAGATTCATTCCAGTCCAGCTCTGCCTTAACCCAGCTCCAATCTGCAGCCAAGATCCCAGCCCTCAGTGATTTCACCTCGTTCCCACAAGCTTTATTCTCCAGCCCCACGGCTTTCATTCCAGACCTGGCTCTGTGGAGGCTCAGCTCTGGCTCCAGAGTCTCTATAGCAGCCCAGCTCCAGGAGATCCCAGCTCCAACCCTGTGTCTCTAGTTCAGCTCAGCCCTATGGGATTTATCCAGATCCAGCCCCACACTCAGTGATTTCAGCTCATTTCCACAAGCTTTATTTTCCAGCTCCAGAAGATTCATTCCAGTCCATCTCCACCTTATCCCACCTCCAGCCAGGATTCCATCTCCAGCTCCCACCAAGTTCACAGCCCCATCCAAGATCCCAGCCCTCAGTGATTTACCTCATTCCCACCAGCTTTATTCTCCAGCCTTAGTGCTTTCTTTTCAGACTTGGCCATCTCTTCCAAGCCCAGCCAAGATCCCAGCCCTCAGTGATTTCACCTCGTTCCCACAAGCTTTATTCTCCAGCCCCAGTGCTTTCATTCCAGCCCTGCCTCTATGGAGGCTCAGCTCTGGCTCCAGAGTCTCTATAGCAGCCCAGCTCCAGGAGATCCCAGTTCCAGGAGATCGCCGCTCCAACCGTGTCTCTAGTTCAGTTCAGTCCTATGGGATTTATCCAGATCCAGCCCCACACTCAGTGATTTCAGCTTATTCCCACAAGCTTTATTCTCCAGCTCCAGGAGACTCATTCCAAACCAGCTCCCTTATCCTTGCTCCAGCTGAGATCCCATCTCTAGCCCTAGCCATGTTCCCAGCCCCAGAGAAAATCACAGCTCTCAGTGATTTCAGCTCATTCCCACAAGCTTTATTTTCCAGCTCCAGGAGATTCATTCCAGTCCAGCTCTGCCTTATCCCACCTCCAGCTGAGATTCCATCTCCAGCCCCCAAGAAGTTCCCAGCCCCAGCCAACATCCAAGCCCTCAGTGATTTTACCTCATTCCCACCAGCTTTATTCTCCAGCCCCCGTGCTTTCTTTCCAGACCTGGCCATCTCTTCCAAGCCCAGCCAAGATCCCAGCCCTCAGTGATTTCACCTCGTTCCCACAAGCTTTATTCTCCAGCCCCAGTGCTTTCATTCCAGACCTGGCTCTGTGGAGGCTCAGCTCTGGCTCCAGAGTCTCTATAGCAGCCCAGCTCCAGGAGATCCCAGCTCCAACCCTGTCTCTAGTTCAGCTCAGTTCTGTGGGATTTATCCAGATCCAGCCCCACACTCAGTGATTTCACCTCATTCCCACAAGCTTTATTCTCCAGCCCCAGTGCTTTCATTCCAGACCTGGCTCTGTGGAGGCTCAGTTCTGGCTCTAGGGTCTCTATAGCAGCCCAGCTCCAGGAGATCCCAGCTCCAACCCTGTGTCTCTAGTTCAGCTCAATCCTATGGGATTTATCCAGATCCAGCCCCACACTCAGTGTTTCAGATCATTCCCACAAGCCGTACTCTCCAGCTCTAGGAAATTCATTCCAAACCAGCCCTCTCTTATCCCAGCTCCACCCAAGATGCACCCTCAGTGCTTTCACCTCATTCCCACAAGCCTTGTTCTCCAGCTCCAGCACTCTCATTTCAGGCTTTGTGACTTATCACATTTGGTTCAAAATCCGTACTTCAGGCCTGCTTCAGGATATCCCAGGCCTCAGTGATTTCAGGTCATTCCTACAAGCTTTATTCCCTACACCATACTCAGTGATTGAACACCAGCTGTGCCTCAGGCCAGTTCCAGCTCTACCGCATCCAATTCTTCCCCAGCCGTGAACCCAGCTCCCGCCCCGTGGATACCCCGGCTCCCAGCAGTGCTGGGCTTCGGACGAGGCGGGAAACCAGCGCCCGGACGCTACGCCTCAGCCGGTGCTGCCCCACCCGGACCCGCCCCTCACCCCGGCCGGCCCCCGGCGCCGCGGCCCAGCTCCGAGCTTAGCATTCAGGCCTCGCTCGGGGGCTGACACCGTCCCTAAGCAGCGCCAGCCCCGCATGGGGTGGACACCGCCGACAGCCCCCGGCCCCACGGGGAGCGTCGGGGATCGGGGACAGCAGCCCCCGCCGGGGAGCGGCCTCGTCCCACCTCAGCACTCAAGCTTCTTCGTACACACCGCGTACACAACCACAGCTCAACAGCAACAGCTTTATTATTGACCCTGCCCGACCCAGACCACCAACCTCCCCCCTCCCAGGCCGCGATCCCCCCGAACCGCCATCACCTCGCACACCACCCGCGGCACTGAGCAGCGGCCCGGCTACACACAGCGGGCAGAGGCAGGGGTCCCGCCGCCCCACACCCTGCGCCTCTCCCGGCTCACCGACGCGGCCGCGGCCTCCGCCTCCGCCTCCGCCTCCGCCTCCGCCTCCGCCTCCGCCTCCGCCTCCGCCTCCGCCTCCGCCTCCGCCTCCGCCTCCGCCCTTCCCGACCGCCGCTCCACCTTTGCACCAGCGGCGCTCAGCGCTCGCCTTTTATAGCCTCTGCCCGCCCTACCCAGCCAATCACGGCCAGCTCCTTCCCGCCTCGCCCGTCTTCTCTCCACCCATCCAGCCCCGCCCGCTTCAAACCCTTCCGTCCCCGCTTCACCCAATCCCGACCCGCCCCTTCAATCCGGCCCCGCCCCCTCTCTGCTTCGCCCAATCCCCGCCCGCCCCTTCAATCCGTCTCTTCCCTCTCTCTGTTTCTCCCAAATCCGGCCCGCCCCTTTCCTCCGGCGCTCCCCGGGTCTGTGGGTTTGAACGGGCACCCGGAGCTCCCTCTCTGCGGAGCGCCCGCTCGTCCTCCCCGGAACTCAGCACCCACTGTGGGCCCTGCGGGACGCGACCCCTGCGGCTCTGCGGATGTGCGGTGGGACCGGGAGGGGGGGAGCTGGATTGAAAAGGAGCGCCGGGATTGGGAGAAACGGAGAGGGGGCGGAGCCGGATTGAAGAGGCGGGCCACGATTGGTCGGAGAGGGGAGGGGAGGGTTTGAAGTGGGCGGGGCGGGATAGGTGGAGAGAAGACGGGAGAGGCGGGAAGGAGCGGGCCGTGATTGGCTGGGCAGGGGAAGGCGGGGTGGGGCGGAGGTTATAAAAGGCGAACGCTGAAAGGGGGCAGCTGTGGAGTGACGGGGCGCGGGGTGCCTGTGCCTGTGCCTGTGCCTGTGCCTGTGCCTGTGCCTGTGCCTGTGCCTGTGCCTGTGCCTGTGCCTGTGCCTGTGCCTGTGCCTGTGCCTGTGCCTGTGTCTCTGTGCGCTGTGTAAGCACGGGTCGGCTCTTTCCGCGGGTAGCATCCAAGGCGGCACTGGAAGCGGTTCGGGGGGATGGCGGTCTGGGGTAGGGAGCGGTGTACCGGGCAGGGTCAATAATAAAGCTGTTGCTGTTGAGCTGTGTGTTGCCATCTTGGACGGTGTGTACGGAGCGATCTGTGTGCTCAGGCGTACCCGTGCTCCGGCGTTCCCTATAGGCCGGAAGCTGCCTGCGGGGCGGTGGCACCGGGGGGTGGTTTCAGCCCTGAGCGGGGCTTGAGGGCGGTGCTAGGGGTGGTGCCCGGAACTGAGCCGCTACAGGGCTCAGTAAGGGGCGGGCCCATGCGCGGCAGCCCCAGCTGAGGCGCAGCTGGTTTCCCGCCTCGCACAAAGCCCAGCGCTGCCGGACATGACAGAGCCGGGCTGGAATGGAAGCGTTGCAGCTGGCAAATAAAGGTTGTGCGAAGGAGCTGCGGTCTGTCAGGGCTGGGATCTCCTGGGGCTGGGATCTTGGCTGGAGCTGGAATAGAGAAACAGGTTCCTGCCCCGGCGCTGATGTTCCCAGCTCCAAGGACGCAGCCGGTTTTCCCCCAGGAAGCGGGTTCCGTGTGCGGCAGCTCAGAGGGAAGCGCAGTTGGAGCTGCCCTCCCCCTTGGAGAGGAGCGGGGAGCTCAGCACAGCCCCGGAGCATCCCTCCCACGGGTCCAGCACCCCCAGAGCAGCTTGCGGCCAGCTCTGCCCGTGCCTGCTGTGGGGACCCGCAGCACTGGCTGACCTGTAGCTAGAGAAGAGTTCCTGAAGCTGCTCCTGGCAGCGAGTGTCTGTCTGTAGAGCTGCTTCCTGCCTCCAGAGCCTGGGGAAAGCACGCTTTTGGGTGGCAAAACCCCAACGCTTCTCCTTGCCATTACTGACAGCCCCCAGCCGTGGGTGCTGAGCCTGCTGGGGTGACGGGCAGCCCCCAGTTCCCTCACCCCAGCCCCACGAGGGAAGCATTTCCTCACCCCTTTAACCCACAGTACCCCGCGTGGAAGGGGCTGTACCGATGCTGTGGGTCTACAGGGCCACCCCCGCCAAGCTCTCTAACGCCCCTCAGCCGGGCTTGGGGCGGCTGCTACCGGCTCCTCCCCGCAGCACTCGGGGCGGAGCTGGCCGAGCGCGTTGCTTTCCTCCTCCGCGGGAGCGATTCCGGGTCGCGGAGGCGGGATCCGCGGTGGCACCGGCGATATGGTGGGGTTGGGGGCCGGGGGGAGATGTGGGGCGCGGTGAGGCAGCGGCGGGTTTTGACTGCACTTTCCTTCCGTAGCGGTTCCGGTTCTGCGGGGACCTGGACTGCCCGGACTGGGTCCTGGCCGAGATCAGCACCCTGGCCAAAATCGTTAAGTGTCCGCTCCCCCCGACCTCTGCCCGCACCCGCCCCGCCGAGCCCGGTGCTCACCCCCCTTGTCCTTCTCTTCCTCCTCCCGCAGTCCTCGGTGAAGCTGAAGCTGATCTGTGCCCAAGTGCTGCGGGACCTGCTGGGCGGGAGCATGGAGGTGAGTGACGGGGAGACGCCGCTGGTCTGCTTGCTCCAAACGGCACCTCCGCGGCGGGTGCTGCCGGCCAGTACTACCAGTAGTGACTTGGGTAGTGAGTAGTAATACTAAGGTGAGGATTCCACTAGCATATGGAATCCTATTCCTGAGGTACCAACCCATTCTAGTGGAAGGTGCCTCCGCCCGTGGCAGGGTGTTGGAACTGGATGAGCTTTAAGGTCCTTTCCAACCACACCACTCTGTGATTGTATGATTGCTGGTGTTGGCTGTGGTGCTGTGCAGTACCTGGTGCTCACTATGATGGCCTCACGTGCTGCTCTCCCACAGTATGAGAAGATCCTGAAGCTGACCTCAGATGCCAAGTTAGGTGAGCGCTGCTGCCCTGGACCCTACTACAGCTCCATCCCTGGGGACCCGCAGTGATGTAGCTGGGGCTGCAGAGCTGACCCCTTCCCCATGCAGAGTCGGGGGACGTGAAGGCCACCATTGCTGTCCTTGGCTTCATCCTCTCCAGTGCTGCCAAGCACGGTGTGGACAGTGAGTCCCTCTCCAGTGAGCTGCAGCAGCTGGGACTGCCCAAAGGTAGGGGTGACCCTGGGGGTGTCACCGTGGTGGGGTTGGTGCCATCAGACAGTTTCGTTGTGCCCTGGCAGAACACGCCAGCGGGCTGTGCCGGTCCTACGAGGAGAAGCAGAGCTCCCTCCAGGACAGCCTGAGGGCTGCCAGCCTGAGATGTGAGTGTGGCCATGGTCCTGGGGGGATGTACTTTGTCTTGGGGAGGGTCTTTGGTCTCTGGGGTCGGGGGGGGGGGGTGGGTCTTGAGTGGCATGGCTTGGGTCTCAAGGTGGGGTGTTGGGTCTCAGGGTGGGGTGTTTGGGATCAGGGATGGGCTGTTTGGGATCGGGGTGTGTGTGTGATGCTGCCCCATTGCCTGCCCCAGTGAGCCGGCTGGGCTCGGTGTGCTGGCGCGTGGATTACACCCTCAGCTCCAGCGAGCTGCAGGCCAATGGGGAGCGAGGGGCGGGGCATGGTTGGGGGCGTGTCCCCCGGGGCGGTGCGTCCGGTGCCCGTGTCCCGCTGGGTCCGGTCCCTCCGGTCCTGCGGCCATGCCCGAGTGCCCGGAGCTGCACCTGGCCGGGCGTTACATCAACGAGGCGTGCGGCGCGCTGGTGTTCTCGGGCGGCGTGGAGCGCTCTGCGGTGGGCAGGGGCCCGGAGGTGCCGTTCAGCAGCGAGGCTTACCGCATCTCTGCCACCGCCCGGGGCAAGGAGCTGCGCCTGACGCTGACCCCGCTGGGCTCCGCCGGTGCCCCCCAGGAGCTGGTTTTCCGCTTCGGCATGTCGGGCTCGTTCCGGCTGTGCCCCGCCGCCGAGCTCCCGCGCCATGCGCACCTCCGGTTCCGCACCCGCGACAGCCCCCCGCGCGTCCTCTGCTTCATCGATGTCCGTCGCTTCGGGTCGTGGCGCCTGGGGGACGCCTGGCAGGAGGGCCGCGGGCCCTGCGTCCTCTCCGAGTACCAGGCCTTCAGGTGAGCATCCACTAGGCACGGGGAGAGCCCCCAGCTCGGCTTCAGCTGAGGTGAGCGTCCTGATGCGCTCCCCCGCAGGGAGAACGTGCTGAAGAACCTGGAGGACAAAGCTTTTGACAAGCCCATCTGTGAGGCCCTCTTAAACCAGAAGTTTTTCAATGGAATTGGGAATTATCTCCGTGCTGAGATCCTGTACAGGTAAGGGGGGGGGGGGAGAGGCTGGGGCAGCAGGAGTTTGGCAGAGTTTTAATGGTGGCTTCTCACCTGGTAGACAGGGGCAAGTGCCAGAACTGAGGGGTGAGGTCCTCTGGAGAGGGGCTTTGGACAAGGGCCTGTAGGGACAGGCCAAGGGGAATGGCTTGAACCTGCCAGAGGGGAGACTGAGATGAGCTCTTAGGCAGAAGCTCTTCCCTGTGAGGGTGCTGAGGCGCTGGCACAGGGTGCCCAGAGAAGCTGTGGCTGCCCCATCCCTGGCAGTGTTCAAGGCCAGGTTGGACACAGGGGCTTGGAGCAAGCTGCTCTAGTGGAAGGGGTCCCTACCCATGGCAGGGGGTCGAAGCTTTAAGGTCCCTTCAACCCAAACTGTTCTGGAATTCTTTGACTCTCTCAGGTTGAAGATCCCTCCCTTTGAAAAGGCTCGGACCGTGCTGGAGGCCCTGAAGGAGCAGGAGCAGGAGAGGAGGAGGAAGGTGAGGAACACCCTCAGAAAGGGGCAGGTTTTTCAGCCAGAGGCCGGGATTTCTTTGCCTGCGGCCCTTTGGGCCATCTCGACAGCTCCAGGAGCCTCTTGCCTTCTGTGGGGGAGCTGCACTGACCTGAGGAACGTTCCCCATTAGGGTCTGGGCTCAGCAGCAGTGGAGGTGGCTCAGTTTGCTGCCAGCCCCCAGCCTGGGCTCAGCCCTGCCCTGCCCTGCCTTTGGGCTTAGCTGGGTATGAAGCTGTGGTTCAGGTTGGCTGTTTCGTGCTTGTTCCAGCACAGGGGCCAGTTTCAGCTCATGTTTGGTTCCTTGCTCCAGTGGGGTAGAACATCATCCCTTGGCCCCTGCAGAGCTCATGCACCCCCAGCTCACACGGCTGTTGGGAGGTGATTTGCTGCTCTGAGTCTCTCCCATGCCAACAATGGGCATTTTCCCTTCACAACTCCAACCCTTGCTGCACGGGATCCTTCTCCTCAGGCTATTCCTTAGCCATGAACAGCCCCTGTCTGGGCACATCTGCCCCTACAGCGCAGCAGAGCAGCTCCATAACCTCACGTGTCCGGCTCATGCTGACGCGTGGTCAGGCTGATGAGCTGTGACAGCAGCACATACCCTTGAGCTGTGCTGGTGCCACTGTCAGGAAGCCTCCGGGTGTATTTGGGGTGGGTGAAGAGGAAGAGAAGGGGAAAACAAACACTTCACAAGCTTCAAACCTCTGGGGAAGGCTGCAGTGGACCCATGGCTGGTCTCATGGCCTCGGTGGGGTGGGGGGAAGTGGCTGGTTTACTGAGGCAGAGAACAACAAACAAGACCTGAGTGCTGTTTGTACAAAGTGCTGGTGTTCCTGTGTGATTGCACCTTCCCTCGGCTTTGTAGCCATGGGGAGCGTCCTAATATGCAGTTTGAAGCCTGTGATGGAGCAAGTGGGGAGTGAGGGCAAGAGGAGATGGGAATCTGGCTGCTGGCAGTGACTCCGCTCCCCTTCTGTCCCCCTGCAGAAACCCTCCCTGACACTGAGCAAGAAGCTGAAGCTGATGCGGGAGAACCCGGATCTGCTGGAGCTGTGTCACACCGTGCCCATGGAGGTCATCGCGACGGGTGAGGCACTGGGACAGGAGCCCCGAGCCTGGCATTCCCAAGCAGGAGGCTTGGTCACTGCTTCCTCTCTACCTCTGTCCTTTCCCCCTCTCCCCTCCCAGAGAAACACCTCTCTGACCCAGATCACTTGGATAACTACGCCGCATTCAAGGGCTGGCTGCAGTGTTACCTGGTGCCTGGCATGAGCTCCCTGCGCGACCGCAACGGCAGAACCATCTGGTTCCAGGTAGGAGCCTGGGGCTGGGTGTCCCTGACCACTGCTTCAAGGGGACACCAGCTTCCTGACAACCCCCCCTGCATTACACGGAGTCACTGGGGTCTCCCTTGTGGCCAGGCAGCTGTGTATGGAGGTGCCAAGGACCTGAGGGATGGTGGGCAGGCTGGAGCAGATGGGATGGCAGGGATGGGGGCTCTGTTGGTTTGGCAGCCCCATTCCCTCCCTCCTATGTCTGGGTGAGCCACTGAGGTGGGGACTCACAGAAGAAGCTGACGAGAGAGCTCCCAGGGCACAGGGCAGGTCCAGCTTCCCTGGCTCCCAGGGAAACGTGGCTGTTTCCACATCACTGCCTTGGCCGCGGGATGGAGAAGGGGCACAGATTCTGCACCCTGCAGAATGGTGCACCCTGGACAATGCTCTGTCACCTTCCTTGCAGGGAGAGCCTGGCCCCATGGCTCCCAAAGGTGAGTGGCCTCTCTCCTCTCCATGGGACCTGCTCTTGCCCCAGGAGGGCTGGAAGCCGGGAAGGCAAAGGCAGATGCAAATGCCCTCTCTCTGGGGCGCTGACAGGCTTACGATGGCTGTTGGCACTAGGATCAAGGTTTCCTACCTACCAGCACACCAACCTGCCTGGGCACAGCATTGCACCTGCAGGATATAGAATCCCGCACTGGTTTGGGTTGGAACTGGACTTAAAGCTCACCCAGTTCCAACCCCTGCCACGGGCAGGGACACCTTCCCCTAGAGCAGCTTGCTCCAAGCCCCTGTGACCAACCTGGCCTTGAACACTGCCAGGGATGGGGCAGCCACAGCTTCTCTGGGCACCCTGTGCCAGTGCCTCAGCACCCACCCAGGGAAGAGCTTCTGCCTAAGAGCTCATCTCAGTCTCCCCTCTGGCAGGTTAAAGCCATTCCCCTTGGCCTGTCCCTACATCCCTTGTCCCAAGCCCCTCTCCAGGTTTCCTGCAGCCCCTTCAGGCACTGGAGCTGCTCTCAGGTCTCCCCTTCAGGAGCCTTCTCTTGTCCAGGCTGACCCAGCCCAGCTCTCTCAGCCTGGCTCCAGTGCAGAGCTGCTCCAGGATAGTTTTCCATGCCTGCACCTCCGTCCCCATCACTGCCTGCCAGGCCGGTCCCTCAAGGTGCAGGCACTGCCCCCTCTCCTCACACTCCTAACCTGGTCCCATCTTTTCACACAGGGCAGGCGCCCCGCAAGAAGCGCGCTCAGGTGGAGTCAAACCCCGAGGCTGTGACCCCCAAGGTAAGAAGCTTGTGCTGTCCTGTTCCCTGTGCCCTGCTCCGGCTCCTCCTGGTCTGCCAGTGGAGCTCCTTCCTCCCTGCCGTTCCTCAGCATCCTTCTGTCCAAGCCCAGTTCTGTTGCTAAACTCTGGCTCTGGGGTCCGTGCAGGTGCCCTCGAGGCGGCGGCCCAGGGCTGCAGCAAAACCCCCGGTGCCAGCCAAGGAGGAGGAAGAGGAGGCCGGTGATGGGCCGAGGAAGGGACGCGCTCGCAGGAGGAGGAGCGTGGCCACTGCTGTGGCCCTGCCCGAGCCCGAGCCGCAGGTCAAGGCTGAAAGAAGGCGCCGGACCCCAGGGCGCAGGGGCAGAGGTGAGGCTGGTTCCCTGCAGCACCAGCGCGGCTTCGGGGCACCCCTCACCCTCTGACTTCTCCTTTCGCTCTCCCCCTTCCAGGCACAGCCCCTGCAGTGTGAGTGCTGCCGCCTCCCCAGGGGCCTTTTAGCAGCCACAGGAGCAGCTCAGGGAGGGCCTGGGTTAGTGCTGAGGAGCTCAGTGCTGGGGCTGCTCTGTTCCTGTGGTCACCCCTGCTTGCTGCTGCTGCGTGGCAGGACGGAGGAGCTGAGCTTGGTGCTGATTTATTCAGCGTCCTCCTGCTGCCCTCAGGTGTTTGAGGGGGTTAAGGGCCATGGACCAGTCATGCTGGCTTCTGGTCCTTCCTTTTGCCTAAGAGTGGATTGCCTCTTCCTTCCTCACCTCCCTTGATCACTGTTTTTAGCTGACTAATAAAGTATTTTGTATAGAAATCCCTGTGCCTGCCTTTTTGTGCTAAGGATAGCCCCCCTGGGTCCAGCCTCTTCCCCACATGGGCTGCAGCAGGCTTCCCCTCCACCTCATCCCTCCAGCAATAAAGGTAAGCTCTGCCTCCCTGGTCCCAGGAGTGAGATGCTGCTGAGGAGGGCACTAAAAGAGCAGCAGCTACAGCAGAGAGGAGGCAGATCAGAGCAATTGCTTGGAAGTAAGTTAAAACAGGCTGGAGCTTGCTTTCATGTAATTCATTTGTGCTCCCCTTCTGCAAGGGCAGGGCAAGGGGCAGGTGAAGGGAGAGGGGAATGACTCGAACGTGTCTTCGTGCTTGCTACAAGGTTCTGGACAAGAGGAAGGCTGGGACAGTGGAAAGCTGCTTCTCCCCAGCCCCACCGGGGTCCTAGCAGTGCCAGTGCAGGGCCAG